AAATTGGGATTTTTTGAGGTTTTTTTGGGGTTTTTTGGTGAAATTTGGGTGAAATTTGAGTGAAATTCAGGGATTTTATGGGGGGGATTTTCAGGCCAGCACGTGCATCCAGGCCACGTTGCCTGCAGGGAGTTTGGGGGAAATTGGGGGAATTTGGGAAAATTTGGGGAAAATTGGGGGGAAATTTGGGGATTTTGGGGATTTTATGGGAAAATTTGGGTGTGTCCCCCCACCCCCAGGTGTATTTCAGGGGCGCCCAGGTGATTTTGGGGGGATTTTGGGGTGATTTTTTTGGGTGATTTTGAAGTGATTTTGGGGGTTCCCAGGTGATTTTGGGGTGATTTTGGGCTGATATTTTGGGTGATTTTGGGGTGATTTTGGGGTGATTTTGAGGTGATTTTTTTGGGTGATTGTGGGGTGATTTTGCGGTGATTTTTGGGTGATTTTTCGGTTGATTTTGGGGTGATTTTTCAGTTGATTTTGGGGTGATTTTTTGGCTGATTTTGCGGTGATTTTTTGGGTATTTTTGGGGTGATTTTGTGGTGATTTTTGGGTGATTTTTTTGGTTAATTTTGGGGTGATTTTGGGCTCATTTTGTGGCGATTTTTCGGTGATTTTTGGGTGATTTTTCGGTTGATTTTGGGGTGATTTGTGGTGATTTTTGGGTGATTTTGGGGTGATTTTTTGGCTGATTTTGCGGTGATTTTTGGGTGATTTTTTGGCTGATTTTGCTGTGATTTTGGGGTGATTTAGGGCGATTTTTGGCTGATTTTGGGCTGATTTTGGGGTGATTTTTGGGCTGATTTTGGGGTGATTTTTCGGGTGATTTTCTGGCTGATTTTGCGGTGATTTTGGGGTATTTTTGGGGCGATTTGGGGCTGATTTTTTTGGTGACTTTTCGGTTGATTTTGCGGTGATTTTGGGGTATTTTTGGGGTGATTTGGGGCTGATTTTTGGGGTGATTTTTCGGTTGATTTTGCAGTGATTTTGCGGTGATTTGGGGCGATTTTGGGGTGATTTGGGGCTGATTTTTTGGGTGATTTTTTGGTTGATTTTGCGGTGATTTTGGGGTATTTTTGGGGTGATTTGGGGCGATTTTGGGGCGATTTTGGGGTGATTTGGGGCTGATTTTTTGGGTGACTTTTCGGTTGATTTTGCGGTGATTTTGGGGTATTTTTGGGGTGATTTGGGGTGATTTTGGAGTACTTTTGGGGTGATTTGGGGCGATTTTGGGGTGCCCTCACCTGCGTACACGCGGGCGTGCTCGGCGTTCTGGGGGAGGCTCCGGGGGACCCTCCCCCCCAGGCCCCTCCCCCGCCGGTAGAAGAGCTCCAGCAGGGGGTGCCGCTCCCCAAAAATCCCCGTGGGGCGCAGCGCCAGCGTCACCAGCCGGGCCCCGCCCGCCACCTGCACAAACACACCCAAAACCCCATGAATTCAACCCAAAACACAAGCCAAATCCAAAATCCCCGAATTCCGCCCAAAATCCCCAAAATTCCACCCAAAATCCCATGAATTCCACCCAAAACACACGGGAAATCCAAAATCCCCGAATTCCGCCCAAAATCCCCAAAATTCCACCCAAAATCCCCAAAATTCCACCCAAAATCCCTCAAATTCCGCCCAAAATCCCCAGAATTCCACCCAAAATCCCCAAAATTCCACCCAAAATCCCATGAATTCCACCCAAAACACACGGGAAATCCAAAATCCCCCCCAAAATCCCCAAAATTCCTCCCAAAATCCCATGAATTCCACCCAAAATCCCAAAAATTCCACCCAAAATCCCCAAAATTCCACCCAAAATCCCATGAATTCCACCCAAAACACAAGCCAAATCCAAAATCCCCAAAATTCCACCCAAAATCCCATTAATTCCACCCAAAACACAAGGGAAATCCAAAATCCCCAAATTTCCACCCAAAATCCCCAATCGGGACCCAGTTTTTGGGGTGACGCTCCCCAAAAATGCCGGTGGGGCGCCCAAATTCCCGGACTTTTGCCCCAAATTCCTGGATTTTGGCCCCAACTTCCCAGATTTTTTCCCCAAATTCCCAGATTTTCCCCAAATTCCCGGATTTTTGCCCGAAATTCCCTCGTTTTCCCCCAAAATTCCCAGATTTTTGCCTTTTCCTTACAGATTTGCCATTTCCATCCCAAATTCCCAGCTTTTTCCCCAACTTCCCAGATTTTCCCCAAATTCCCATATTTTTTCCCCAAAATCCTGTATTTTCCCCCCGAATTCCCATATTTTTTCCCGAATTCCCAGATTTTTGCTCAAATTTCCCAGATTTTTGCCTCAAAATCCCAGATTATTCCCCCAAAATCCCATATTTTTCCCCCAAAATCCCGTATTTTTGCCCCGAATTCCCATATTTTTGCCCCGAATTCCCGGATTTTGGCCCGGAATTCCCGGATTTTGGCCCAAAATTCCCGGATTTTGGCCCGGAATTCCCGGATTTTGGATTTCCTCACGGGTTTCCCGTTGGCCTCGAGGACGAGGCGCTCGGCCTGGGCCTTGCTGAGCGGGTACGGCTCCGAGTGCCGCGTGGGGTACGGCGTCTCCTCGTCCCCCCTGCGCCCAAAAACGCCCAAATTCACCCCAAAATTTGGGAATCTCAAAAGCCCCAAAATCCCCCAAAAATTCCCCAAAAAATCCCCCAAAAATCTGACGGAATTCGGCCCAAAAATGGCCAAAAATCGCCTCAAAATCACCAAATCTCGCCCTGAAATTCCATTTTTTTGGGGCAGATTTAGAGGCGCCAAAAACGCCCAAATTCACCCCAAAAT